GTAAAGTACTTGTTGACATTTAATATTAACTATAACTTTTGACACAATGATAAGTGTTTCATCTATCATATCAACATATATACATGTATCAAATACTCAAATAATACAAAATGTCACTTGTATAAATGATCAAATGGTAAGGTACTTAAATGTGTGCTGTAGATTCGTGGATCCAAATGAAGTTTCTGTCTGGGCTTTGATTTCAATTTAGGATGCGATAGATGCTCTTTGTTAGGCCACTAAGTTTTCTTCAAGTGCTCTGATCTCTTAATTGCATTAAAAGTTTTGAGGCCCAAACTGGAAAATTCAAGATTAAACAATATTCGCACATCACTTTACAAGTGCATGCTGTTGTAAATAAAAGTATAGAATTAGATCGAATTGAGACACTTATATATCAAAATTATTAAGTGCATGCACCCACCCACCTATAATGCATCATATCATTTCTTTATTTGCAATCAAAAGTACGTTTTATTGGATGACGAGGGGAGTCCCGCTTTTATGTAATAGGAGCAAATTATACTGTAGAGGTAAATAACATTAAAAAGACCTTATGCAACGGGCCGGGCTAAATCAAGATAGTGTTGAAAAAAATATAATTAAACTCGTATTTTGCTATACGAAAATTATACTTCATACACTCGACGACCCCTTTCAAGGCCGCAAAAGTTTTATTAACTCAGCTCAAACGTAAAAGAGGTAGTACGATGCTAATGTGGTTTGATTCACATTTGATGCATAAAACATGATTTACACGTACGTAGAAGCTGCCAAAAATCTGTGTTACGTTATTCATTCCTGATTGATAAAATGAACCGTTTGAGAAAAGTTGTCTCCAAACATGCAAGTCAATATTGGACATTAGCTAAGCTAAGCTAGTCCGCCATTCAATACACATAGATGAAATGCATGCATATAGGCCTCCATGAAGGTACATACAACAATCTCCATTCCCATCCGTTCTTGCACGTCACATCTTGAAATTTTACCGACACGTACAACCTTTATTTTGTTTCCATACTTTTATGTATTATTAGACTGATGGATGAAATACAGATGAATTTATACACATGACATCTGTCTTTAATCTTGTCATGTTACGTTAAAGTCACTCAATTATTCTTCTATCATGTTTCATTAAAGTTGTGCTCACGTTAAAGTAAAAAGTTTATATAATTCGTCTTATTGTGAGAGATAAAATTTGAAATGTAAAAACAATATATTAATTTAATACTTCAATTAATATAAAATATTTTAAAATGCAAACTAATTTAGATATGTTGTGACACGCATATATAGGCATATATATGTAAGTGGGTTGACTTCAATTCCTCTCTATAAAGCTATCTAGCATCGATGGAAGAGAAAGAGGTAAAACAAGAACATCGTCACAAACATAAATTCTCAAATTTCTTACATGGAAATGGCATGCAATTCAGGTTCAGATGCTATGCATATATATGATTCTCTCTCTCTCTATATATATATATAGAGAGAGAGGCCGGCTAGTATATTTAGGCCTAGCTATATATATATGCAAGGTGATAAGGTTGAGGTATAGCCAAGTCAAACAGTACTGATATCATATACTGATCTGAGTAAGAATAAGAATATAAGTTGTACTGTTAAGAGCATTGCTTTCTATGAGCTCATCATTATATTATATTCCATACATATATATAGTTCCATTGACTACTGTCAGCTTGTTAGCTACCTACAGTTATTTTTATTTTTATCGATCACAACGTTAATGACAGTAAAACATAGATCAGCACTTTGGTCCTGGATGTCCATGAATGATAGCTTCAGCTTTAATTTAAACAAATATCACAACAAAAATGAGATCAGATCCGGCCAAGCTACTTGAACTATGCTATCACAGTTGATCAAATTTATTACCATAGATAATCAGATCAGATGGAAAAATAAAAATTTAAAAAGGAAAAAAAAAAAAAAAAAAAGAAATTTCATGAACAAAAGACATATATATAACATATGTTGCATATCGCTGTGATTAAAGAAGGTAGTATTAAAGATGATGAGATGTGATATATTATTATATTAGGAACAAACATAAACTAAGAAGAATACTCCGTATAATAATATAATAAATGTGCAGGAATTTTCGCTCATCACACACACAAGTATATTTAGGGTTTTCTGCAATTAATTAAACCACGCTGAAGATGGAACAAACAAGCTAAGCTAGCTAAGCAGGTAGATCAACTCTGAAAACCCAAATTAAAGGGAAAAACAAAATGGAAATATGAAGTAAGGAAACCTAGATCGAGTTTAAATAAATATGATGATAATAATAACAACTTAAGAAATGAAACACGGAAGATCGAGGCAAAGGAAGGTTTAACAGTACTATGATTGTTGTTGTTGTTGTTGATGTAGGTGGTAGCGAGCTAGGCTGCAGGTAGCAGATGGAAAGCAATCGGACCATGATGCTTGATTCCCCATATGGAAGAAAGGGAGAGAGAGATGTGTGAGCAGGCAACGTGACCTCTGGAATCTGAAGGGATCACACAGAAGACGACGACGACGTGATCTGCAGGTGTAGAGTTAGGGTTTGAGTGGTGGGTGGAGGAAACCTAACCCTAATGCTTCAACAACATCTTCTTCGTCTTCTTCTTCTTCTTTGATGGAGGGGTTTGATGAGGAGAAGAGCGGGTGGTGGGGGGAGTGGGGTTGGTGGATGAAGAAGATAAAGAAAGTAGTGTGGAGGGTGTAATGATGGCGGCGATGAAGAGTCAGAGGGGTGGTGGAGAAGGAGGAGGATGAGGAAGACATTATGATTGCTGTTTGGTGTTTGGCTTTCAAACCCCGCATTAACAATAAATCCAATGTAGTATTGCGTGCACTGCCAAATTCGCAATTGGCAATTGGCAATTGGCAATTGGCATGGACTCTCTCTCTCTCTCTCTTAAGTCTTCACCCCACCCCCCACTCCGATCCCACATAATATTATATTCTCAACTCTCAACTCTACTCTACTGTACTGATGTACAAAATTATATATGATGAAAATGCACATGGTGCTAGCTAACTCTTTCATGCTTTACCCTAAAACCAGGCCCTACCATCTCATCAACAACGAACCAACATTTCTATGTTAAACGTACTCTGCCCCATTCACCAACTCGAATGCACCCAAAATTTCATCCCAGTCAACTATATATGTATGACGCTACGTGTAAATCATATCGGGCAAACATAAATTTACACACTATATATGTATGACGGTGTAAATCAAGCAAAAATAAATTTACACATGTACACATATATAATGCTTTCCATCTCTTGGATCTATCACAATGTTTCTAATTTGTTAGTGTAAATCCGAAGCATATAGAAATATATCTTTGTCATTCGATATAACTAGCATATATATAGTTTTTGAGGTTGATTATATATAATGTTCTTAATATCAAGTGAATATATATTTACGGAACGATGATGGTTAGTTAATGTTTATGTGGGATATGATTTGAATTCATAGAACACTAAACATTTAGAAGCTAGCTAAAGCAAAAAACATAATATTATATGAATGATAGATGAAAAATATAATGATCGAAATGGAATTGAAGAAGAAAGATATAGTGGCCGGGGGGAGGGAATTGAATTGAATAAATTAAGTAATGGGGGTTAGCAAACATGGTTGGGTGTAAAGGTGAAATATGTTGGAGGTGAAAGTAGTTGAATTTTATAAGAAAAGTTGGAAACAGGAAAAAGGGTGTATAGGGCTGTATATGTATTATGTAGTATATAAATATGGGGTTAGATGGATGGGTGAATATATGAATATGCTGGCTCTGATCTTATTCTGGTAGGGTGCCCGCATACATATATGCTAGCTTTATTGGGTTTAGATAAAGACTGCCAAACTGCACTTGATGAGTAACGTAGTGGATAAAATAAAGAAGGAATGCAGATCAGAGGAATATATCAAAGCTAAATGCATCATGGAACTCCGGAATGTTAGAGGGATACAATAAGAGAATCATTGGATTTTTGAATGAATACGTTGGAACGTACATTCGGTCAGATGGCCTGCCTGTGCTTCATTGGAATCTGATGGGATTATATATTTAATCAAAAATATTATATGTACTATATTTTAATTTAACTTTTACTTTCACGGGATAATCTTTCACTTAAGAGAGTTATTTATGTTGCTTGATCACAAAGTATTTAAAAAATGGATAGAATATTTAAAAAGTTATAAGGTTTTGAATAGTAATTTATTTTATAGGATTTTACTTGGGGTTGGGGTAATAGATGAGCGATTAGACAGGCCAGGCATGGTAATCACTTCTTGTTTGACTCTGGAAAAGTAATTTCTTCTTTTTTCATCCAGTACAGTGAATTCTTTTGTGGCCAACATGTTCATTGGCTTAGAAAGTGGGACTCAAAGATGGAATATAATATTTTTTTCTTTTTTTCCTTTTTTCCTTTTTTCATACCAAACAACATTAGAAGCCAAACATAATAAAAAGTTCACTCTTTTGCTTTCTTTCCGGCCCTTTTTTTCTTTTGTTTTCTTTAGTGATATGGACATGGTAATATTGCAACTGATGTTTAGCCAACCACAACAGACTGACTCCTCTAATATCACACAACGTTAATGTTTCAATCAATAATCTTACAATATAAATAATCTCTAAACTACATTAACTATAAATCTATTCATAAACTTTATATTATGAAAAATTGAATTAAAAATAACTTCGTCAAGTCTTATTAACCGAATCAGACACATAAAATGGACGAAGGGAATAATAATTTTGAGTATATATGCAAAGAATGAACATTCTTATTTAATGATATTATTATACCTTGTGGAATATACAACTTTTTTCTGTTATGCCCGTGAATAAGAGCATCTAGCTTTCACTGAAAATGGGCCAACTAACAAATGGGCCAGCTAGCTTCACATGCACGTCCTGCTTTTCAAACCCAACAAACGGGCAACGGTATACAAACGCCCCCAGGCCTTCCCTCCAGATTGTCGCGCCAAAGATGCTAAGCTGCAGAGCCCACAGCTTTCCTCTGTTGCATCCATTTTCTGTCGGGACTTTTTTCAAACACCTTTCACCTCCCAAAACTTCCGTCCTTAAACCAATCAGCAAATCCTTGGTCACCGTCGCCTCCGCCGCACCTCCTGCCACTCCCCATTTCGGAGCCCTCAATTCTCACCAGAAGCAACAAGTCCATGTCTACATCGATTCTCTTCTCCAGTGGAACCAGGTTCCTTTCAATATGTTTCTCTGTTATGTGCATGTGCCTGTATCTTATATGTGAAACCTTTGAGATTTTACTGCTTGCAGAAAATGAATCTCACGGCGGTGAGGGAGGAAAGTGAGGTCATGGAAAGACACATCGAGGACTCGCTTGCAATTATCGAGCCGATTCGAAATTCCTATGTGTCACGTTGTGGTGCTTCTTCTGAGAATCTTAAGATTGTCGATGTAGGCACTGGAGCGGGGCTTCCTGGACTTATATTAGCTATTGCTTGCCCTGGTAATTGATTCAATTTTACATTTTTCTAGCTTTTTTTGTATGCTTAAGTGTAAGTGCAAGTTCAATTCTGTGCCTATTTACTTGTTTGGTTCGTTTACTGTGTAGGAAAGAAAATACTATTTTGATATGGAATTTAAACTGTAATCAACAAGGGAAACGTTTTCCAATTAAGTTCCAAGTAGTTCCTCCAGTTCTCATGATTTTGACCAGTGCAACATTTTTTCCCTTGTTTTCCTAAACATTTGTCAAATTTATAACCCATTTTAAAAAGTGGGCATATAACATTTTTTTTTAAGTATGATTTTTTTTTTTTTTTTGTGTGTGATACAAAGAAGCTTATTGTGTTTTTGTAGATTGGAAAGTGACACTTCTAGAATCTTTGAATAAGCGATGCCAATTTTTGGAGCATGTGGCTGGGGAAACTGGTCTGTCAAATGTGGAAGTTATAAGAGAAAGGGCTGAGGTATTTTCTTTTCTTATTTCATTGAGATTTACTCATCTTCTTCCACACATAATGCAACTCTTAAACTTTAAATAGGACAGAATTTAGGGCAAAATCAGAACTTCAGAGAGTCATTTGATGTTGCAATAGCCAGAGCAGTTGCAGAAATGAGAATTTTAGGTAGGTTACATTTTTTTCCCCTTTTTATTCATAGTGGCATTATAGCATAATTCTTTTTATGATTATGTTTTCATTGTTCAGCTGAATATTGCCTTCCTCTCGTTCGCGTTGGTGGCTTGTTTGTAGCTGCAAAGGGTCATGATCCTCAGGTTCCTCTTCTTGCCATCTCTCTGAACTAGAAACAAATAGAACCTATGTTTATTTTCTGAATGCATTTCCTTTTTTAATGAGTTTCAGTTAGCTTTAGTGAATAAAGTACTTTGTGTGTCTCATGGTAAATGGAGTTCTCATATTTAATCTGTATAGTGACCTATTCTATGTAAGGATCCAATTTCTGTGCTAGATATGATATATGATTGACACTTCACTAGAGGAAGTTAGGAGTAGATAAGTAATCAAATGAAAAATGACTTCTCACGGTTTACCTAACATTTCAAGAAGCATATATAAATCTTTGTTTGGACTTTCATGAGAATTACCCAGTTCCCTCTTTAAACATGTCCCACAGGAGGAAGTGAGAAGAGCAGAGAGAGCAATACATTTGATGGGTGCAACTCTATGGCAAACTTGCTATGGTATGTTCCTTTTTGGGTTTTGACAAGTGAATCTTTGATCTGGCTAGTCATGAAAGAATAATATAATCCTAGCCAATCTTTCACATTTGATGATAGTTTAAAGAATAATGATCTTACCCATTTTGAATGTAAATGTATATCGTGATAAGAGTTTAAAACCTATTAAAGTCTAGTTCCCTGTTGATTGGTGAGGTCCTCTTCGCCCTACCCCTCTTCTACCATCTTTTGGCTTGTGTTAACACATTTGTCCATTTGTTTTCAAAAACCAGTTGATTCACACAGTAAGTATGGGCAGAGAACTGCCATCGTTTGCTTGAAAGGTGGTCCAACCCCAAAGAAATATCCCAGAGATCCAGGAACTCCAGCAAAGTTACCTCTTTAAATATGGTGAATTTTATACCCCTGCTAAGTTTTCCTACTTGTACAGCAGCTTTGATAATAGGACAGCACCTCACATTTGAAGTAGGGTGCAATGGTCAATGCCCAAATGACAGGAGCTATGTGCAAACACTCTTCCCTCAAATTTGAAACTATTCTTACCAGTATAAACAAGATGTTACCAACTTTGTGGCTCACTGCCATGAAATTGATCGGCATTTTTGGGAGGTACTGGAGAAAGAGCTGAGTGGTGGTGGCTCCTGAATCTGTTCTTGAAGCTGCTAATTGCAGCACAGCACAGCAGAAATGCACAGAAAACCAGTTCCGCTGATATAAACCATCCTCTGCAGAAGACAGAAAAAAAAAAAAAAAAAAAAAAAAACCTCCTCTCTTCTGTTTCCTATTCATGTTGCTTATTATAAGACCTCCTACATGTACGTTTCTCTCTATTATAATGTATTAATTAATGCTGACATTTATTTTGTGAATTAAATAAAGTTGACATTTTGGTACTTAGCTTTATTTGTTGACTAATACCAATCAACATTCACATCACAGACCACATTATATAGAGGATAAGCCGCCAGACCCCTACCTCCAATCTTATATGTACCTTGCTTCTTCTCTGTTCTCTAAATCCTGTGTTCAGTTATCAATTAGCTAAAGATTTTGAAGAAAATGGATAGAAGTGGCACGTATGAGTCGTCATGGGCAGATCAATGGGACTTCAATTCAGAGCATACAACTTCATCTAAAGAAACCAAGAAAAGCAGGTCTGGCAATGGTGGGATGAAAGTGAAGGTGGGTGAAGGGCTTGGGAAGACCAAAGCTATGGCTGCGACCGGCATCAAGAAGGTCAAGAATGGTACTTCTGTTGGCCTTCAGTGGGTCAAGGATAAGTACCACAAGACAACCCAAAAGAACTGATTTCTCTTTTCTCTGTTTCATTTTTACGTATAGATATGGTTATATAGATAAATTTTTATGCAGCCAGCTTAAATATGAGATATTGTGTAGTATTTACATGTTGATGGATTGGGATTTCCCTCTTATTATATACATACCTCGTTAGTATCTGATTCTTCTTGGTATATCAACATTTTCATTGAAATTATGATAAAAATATGAAATACTACTGTTTAGTAAAATATGAATCTTTACTAACAATTTTTCTTATAATTAATAATACAAAGAATATGATTTGGTATTGGTAAACGAATTATAATTGTCAAAACATACGAATTACCTTTTACTTTCTTAATGACAAAGCTTCAAAGCTTTGACATATGCGCCTAAAATCTTTGAATCACTCAAGCATTGTCCAGAGATTGTTACCAACGCCATCGATTGTTGAATGTTGACCTGACCTGTATAAAATAAAAAATTCTGGCCAGAAATGAAAATAAATAAAAATAAATGTTTTGGGCCACTAGACTAGGCATAGAGTAAGGCCTTGTTTGGTATATAGACCCAAAGTAAACCAAACAACGTACATCTGCAAAGTACGCATGCGATAACGACTTGAGACAATAATTTCAAAATAATAATAATAATCATATATCACGTGGAAACCAATTTTTGTTTTTGTCTTAGAACAGAACTCTACGAGAAATGGAATAATGTTAATATTTTGTCAGTTGTCACATGATATGGTATCATGGTAAGATATGTTAACATTAAATTATTTAATCTATTAATAAAAAATGAGTATAAAATTATACGACAGGAATCTTATGTAGCTGGAACATAAAAGTAAGAATGTAACCAACCGCCGTTGCCGCCAATAAGACAGTCGGTGGCATGGATCCCGCCACTTACGTCACGCATTTGCCACGGACCGGCGGGCATTAGTACTACTCCGTATTAATATTCACTCCCACTTACTGTTACGGTTACGCTACTCTTCTCAGTTGTCACACACACTCTCTCTCTCTCTCTCTCACCAATTGCGATGGCCATTCCCAATGTTCGAATACCGACCCGGCAGCTCTTCATCGGCGGCGAATGGATAGAGCCTCTCAAGAGGAACCGTCTACCCATTATCAATCCTGCTACAGAAGAAACCATCGGTTTGTATATAAATTTTGCAGTGTTCATTTCTTATTTCTTTTATTAAATTTAATTTAATCTAAACTGAAAGTACGTGAAGTGGTTTTAATGGGAAAGTTTGAATGTTACACGGGCGGGCAGGGGATATTCCGGGAGCCACTCCGGAAGATGTGGATATAGCTGTAGAAGCTGCTCGGAGAGCTATGGCCGGGGAGTGGGGCTCCACCACAGGGGCTCAACGGGCTAAATATTTGCGTGCCATTGCTGCCAAGGTTTATACTTTTTTACCATCAAAATTCCATCTTTCTTATGTTTATTAATCTTACTTTTGAACTTCTTTTTCCTAGGATTGATTGATGTGTTATTTCTGATTTTATCAACTTCATATTCCATATATATTATAACAGAAAATACTGAAATCAAGTTGTGTACCTGGCTTCTAATCAATGACATCTGACCTCCATGAGCTTATATTCTGTTTGGTGTAGGTAAAAGAGAGGAAGCCTGAACTAGGAACACTTGAAGCCATTGATTCTGGAAAACCTTGGCTGGAAGCAGATGCAGATATAGTATGTTACAAATACCTCAAGTAACAGCTAGATTATTTACTACCATACTCGGTGTGTTTATGGTTGCTTCTTCGTATCACTCAGGATGATGTTGCAGCATGTTTTGAATACTATGCTGACCTCGCTGAAGCCTTGGATTCAAGACAGAAGACTCCCGTTCCTCTTCATTTGGATTCATTTAATACTTACGTTCTCAGAGAGCCCCTTGGTGTTGTTGGCTTGATTACTCCATGGTATATATGTTCTTACACTCTTACAATTAGGGCGTGCTTTCATTTCTAAATTATTAAATTTCATTTTCACTCGAAAATAGTCATCTTTACTTATATCATATTATAGGAGGATGGTTTGGAGTCATTGTGCTCCTTATGCCCTTGGAAACCAAATATTAATCATAATTTGCAACAGATCTAAATTTCACTTTTACATGTGATAGGAATTATCCTATGTTGATGGCTACCTGGAAAGTTGCCCCTGCGCTGGCTGCTGGTTGTGCTGCAATACTTAAACCATCTGAACTAGCTTCAATGTGAGTCTATATCCTCTTAATTTTCTTGTTATCTAGTGTTGCCATTCTATTTTGGTTTTTAACTTATTATTATATATTTTTCAATTTCAGTACATGTTTGGAGTTGGGTGAAGTGTGTAAAGAGGTTGGCCTTCCTCCTGGTGCCCTTAACATTCTAACGGGGTTGGGACCAGAAGCAGGTGCTCCTTTGGCATCTCATCCTCATGTTGACAAGGTTTAATTTGCTGCTTTAGATTTTCTCATTTCGTTAGTGTATATTTATCATTGTTTCCATTGACTTGACATTTTATTGTACCATGATTGTGGGGCTTAATCCTTTTTAATCTTTTTGCAATAATGCATAGATTGCATTTACAGGCAGTAATGCCACAGGGGTTAAAATCATGACTGCTGCAGCCCAGCTTGTCAAGGTATGTTAACCTCTTTTGGTGTTCTTTGATAGTAACTTTTATTTTTGAGTTTTAGGGTATGATTGATTCTTTCTTTCTTTTTTATTTTCATTTACAGCCCGTAACACTTGAGCTTGGTGGCAAAAGCCCTATAGTTATATTTGAGGATTTTGGTGACCTTGATAAAGGTTTAGCCTTTTCCTAAATCGTACTCCGTACATTATTAATCTTTTAGTCTGACTCTTGGAGTATTATGATGTGTTTGTGTATTGCATCAGCTGCTGAGTGGACTCTTTTTGGTTGCTTTTGGACAAATGGTCAAATTTGTAGTGCAACATCTCGTCTCATATTGCAGGTATCATCCCCTTTACGTTGTATAGTTAATTCTGGAAACCTTAAGCCAAAAGTTTACAACTTCTGGTCTGAAACTTATTTTTCCATTTACGTTTTTAATCTACTTGGATGGATTAATTGGCCTCTCCATTCTCAATGTCACAGGAAAGCATTGCTGCAGAATTTTTGGATAGGCTTGTGAAATGGACCAAAAATATTAAAATATCAGATCCCTTGGAGGATGATTGTAAACTTGGTCCACTTGTTAGTCATGGACAAGTAAGACTGATGAGAAGGGAATCATTCCTAAATTTGTTTTTTGTATTATTTTAGACTTACTGAAAATTTTATGTACTTTACACTGTTTACAGTATGAAAAGGTGATGAAATGCATCTCAACAGCCAGAAGTGAAGGTGCAACCATTTTGTATGGTGGCCAGCGTCCTGAGGTAGAAGTTTATAGTAACGTTTAACCAGGGATTTTTTTTTTAAAAATTAATCTTCATGGTCATGAACTTTATTCACAATTGAATTGCAGCATTTGAAAAAGGGGTATTACATTGAACCAACCATCATAACAGACGTAAATACGAACATGCAAATCTGGAGAGAGGAAGTATTTGGGCCCGTTCTTTGTGTCAAGACATTTAAAACTGAAGCTGAAGCCATTGAGCTAGCAAATGACACCCAGTAAGTCTCTCACCAATTGGCGTTAATGACAGACAGTATAATTAATAGGATCAACACTTGTTTATGTTGCAAATAAATCTGAACTTTCTTTCCCCTTCTTCCCATGGGTAATTTTGTATAGATATGGTTTGGGTGCTGCGGTCTTGTCAAAAGATCTGGCAAGATGCGAGCGATTGACAAAGGTAAGAGTTCTTTCTCAGCTCCATCCTCATTTTAAAAAACCAATCATTATCCTGGAGAATGTCACGTTTATAATTTGAATCTCCCTGAAATGTGCAGGCTTTTCAGTCAGGTATAGTCTGGATCAACTGCTCACAGCCATGCTTTTGGCAACCTCCTTGGGGAGGAAAGAAGCGTAGTGGTTTTGGTCGTGAACTAGGGGAATGGTAATCTGAAACTAATCCTTTTTATTTCTGCATTTAACAGTTTTTATCCTATCAGAAACCATAACTAGAAAGAAGAGAAAATATAATGCATGCATATATATATATATATATATAGAGGATGAAGAAAGCAATGAAGTGTTGTTATTGTTTGCAGGGGACTAGAAAACTACTTGAACATCAAGCAGGTTACGCAGTACGTGTCGGATGAGGCTTGGGGTTTTTACAAGTCTCCTTCAAAGCTGTGAAAAGAGACAGACAGGAACAACTTCATTCTGCTGTCTGTCTGTTAGAATGGAACACCATGAAACTACCAACACATATATTGTTGTATTCTATTCTCTCATAGTCATGGATGCCTAGCTACTCAATAATACTATGTAATAAGCCTCCTGTTTCTAAACAGGATGAATAGATAATTGGATTTGTGTTCAATCTTCTGTGTTAATAAGCCCGCTTCGATTTGGTTGCTACTTGGTAGTAAAGGTTAACAATGGCATCATTTACTTATCTTGTACAATTCCCCATTTTTAATTTTATAACCAAAACAATGCCATTTTTTCTTACTAAAAAAACATCCAATCCAAAATTAATTAATATTTCAAAATATGTTTGTATATTACTATATGTATGTTTATAGACATTTTACGAATGTCTAAGACACTTTTACACAATAACAGTTTCACACAAAACTTATTTATTTTATAGTTACAACTTGCAATCAAGTTATAATAAGTCAATTATATATAGTATACATACACATAATCTAGGAGGACAATTCAGATTTGGGTCGAGGTTGCCTCAGTGGGCTGCCGATTATTGGGCCATAGTTTATGTATTTCAGACCATTGAGCTACTGGACCTAGGAAAGGAATATACTATCGATCCAGTAGTACTTGTCATTTTCTCAAGCATTTCTTGTCGGGCAGATTCCACACTTCTCTTTTTCTTCATCCTACGCTCTCTATTATTCTTCCACGTACCACGTTGGTAATGAATCAGTGAAGAAAATGGGAAGCACAACCCCAATTTCATATCTAACTCACCAGGAAGCTACGGAGATTGATCACCTGCTGATGGGTCCTTTGGGGTTTAGCATAGATCAACTAATGGTCAGTGTTCAAGTTTCAATCTTTCTAGTCTTCTTTTTTCCTTGTTGAACTCTATATATACACCTTTGAGTTGTGTTGTCTATTTAGAAATTCCTGATGTTCTTTTTTTGGTTTTGAGTTTTCACTTCAGGAATTGGCTGGCTTGAGTATTGCGACTGCAATAGCTGAGGTATGTAATTCCTCTGCTGGTGGCTTTAGTAGTAGTATGTTCCTTTGATTTCTCCTCAAATGTTTGAGAAAAGACAGTTCCTTTGGCTAATCCCATGTGGTAGAGTTGGTTTCTGAGCTTCTGTTATGCAATGTGCTTCATTTCAATTCCCCCTGGTGGCTTTTCTTGCTGCTTTTTGTGGTTTATTTGTGGTTTGTGCGCTTCATGCAGATTGGTGTGATTTGGTTGTAGGAGTCTCTGTCATTTGTACTCTAATATTACTATCTAGTATCTAGTTTATGAAAGGATGTTGTCCCAAACCATGTTTATCTTCATCTTTAAAGTTTAAATAAAATTAGCATTTGCATTCTTTTGTTGGCTAGGTCTACAATCCAAAGGAATACCGTCGAATTCTTGTGATTTGTGGCCCAGGAAGCAATGGTGGTGATGGTCTTGTAGCTGCTCGACACTTACATTACTTTGGATATGAACTGTTTCTATGCTATCCAATGCAAACTCCTAAGCACCCTTATACTGGTCTGGTAACTCAGGTATCAGCTAGATGCTCTAATTTCATGAAAATTCAGGGCTCATGATTTCTTGGGACTACTTATTTACAAGCTTTTGTTTTTAATATATAGCTTGAATCACTATCAATTCCATTCCTGCATGTGGAAGGTCTACCTGCTGACCTATCTGATGACTTTGATGTAATTGTGGACTCAATTTTTGGGTTTTCGTTCCATGGTAATAATCCTTTTCAAAAATGTTCTTGCTTCTCTTATTTATAGAAACTTCATTTACTTGGTGCAAACTCATGCAAGTTAGGAAAGAGAGATTAAATGTGAGGTTATATTTGAATTGTATGAGGCATTAATGTAACTGCTTGAGTTCATTGGAAAATATATATATCTCTGGTTATTTAAGTCATCTAATGTAAATCACTGTTTATCTTTCTTCAGGGACCCCTAAGCCACCTTTTGATGAACTTATTCAGAGATTGGTGTCCCTAAAGAATCCCCGTGATTCGCATAGGAAGTCACCTGTGATTGTCTCTGTGGACATACCATCCGGATGGCATGTTGATGGAGGAGATATAAATGGTGAAGGCATTAGGCCTAGCATGCTGGTATTTTTGTAAATCACTATTTATTTAATTTCCTAGCTATTTTCAGTACCATAGATGAATCATTTACTTATTTTTTCTCTATATTAAGTAGACTATCTAAAGAAATTTTATATTTTAATGTACAGGTTTCTTTAACTGCTCCTAAATTGTGTGCCAAAAGGTTTTATGGTCCACATCACTTTTTAGGTGGAAGATTCATCCCACCGTCTATTGTAGACAAATTCAAGCTTAGACTTCCATTGTATCCCGGCACTTCTATGTGTGTGCGAATTGGAAGGCCTCCCGAGATTTATCCACTAGCACTGCTAGGAATGCACGTTGAGGCAGACCCATTCGATCAGGTTTGGCTTCATACTAGCTAGTTCAATGATTTGACACCACATACCCTCAAGATCTTTACACGGTCCCTAGACGGTGAAAGAATTTCAAATGGCTTTTGCTACTAGTTTTTATTTGAAATCATCTATTTCTTTGCAGTTCAAGAAATGGTTTGATCATGCATTAGTTGCCGGTGTGAAGGAACCAAATTATATGGCACTATCAACTGGAACCAAAGATGGAAAACCGTTAGTCTATTGCTTCCATTTTTTCCCTGATTTCTAAATGTTTTGTTGAACCCTTCTTTGCCGGATAAATTAAATGTACCTCCAACTATAAATATCAAGGTGTTACGTAGATCCATATTTATTTCTTAAAGAGGAACATCATCCTTCAATTAAATTTTAATAATAATAATTCTATCATGCTTACGTAATGATTGTGCTTTTCTCTAATAATCAGCTCATCTCGGGTGGTTTCTCTAGAAGGAGTTAACAAAGATGGCTTTGTCTGGTGAGTTGTGTGACTCTCACAGTGACATATCTCAAGATTTATTTCCTGAAATGCTGTCCAATATAATCCTTTCCTAATGCGAAATCAGGTACACCAGTTATGAAAGCAGGAAGGCTCGTGAAATATCTGAAAATCCACATGCATCACTTCTTTTCTATTGGAGTTGTTTAAATTGCCAGGTGCCTGCAGTGTCTTTGCACTCCAATAGGACTATATGATTGCAAAATTCTACACAGTACAATTGATGCTGAATGCATATATGAATTGGTGTTGGTTAAGAAAATAATTTCACATATATTTGGATTGCTAGCTCCAATCCTAAAAAGTGGAATGAATGTATATATACATCAATTTCATATGGTGTTCTGTATAAACTTGTGCTAACAGTTTACTGGGAGCAGATAAGAGTGGATGGCTTTGTACAGAAAGTTTCTGATGAGGAATCTGAGCAATACTTCCATAGCCTTCCACGAGATATTCAGATTAGACCGATAATCAGCAAGCAGGTTTCTCTTAAATTTCTAGCTTGCTCACAATATTGGATTCTCCTGCATGTGTGTAACTTGTACATATATATGATATACCTCATCATCGTCTGCTGAGCCAGCCTACTTTTTTTCTTTTCTTTTTTTGTTTTCAATAATCTTCAGAGCACTGAAATTCCTGGGAGGGAGATTCTCCATCAACAATACAAAGAATTAGATGGAAAGTACCCTGAGGGGTCAGTAATACTATTGCTATTTGTGATTTTTTTTGCTAGTCTGAAAGGGTGTTCTTGTTTTCACTTCGGGTATGCCAACAATTATCTAATATATGTCATGACATAATAGTGATCATCATTCTGATATTTAAAAGACAAAAACATAAAAATGCATGCACTGCTTCTTTACTATAGTACGAAAATCACGTCACCCACATGTATAGAGTATGTTTGTGCTTTATAACATGGTCACCCCTTTTATCTTTCATAACATTAATTATATTCTGCAGTTTTTAATAACTACTTCCATGTGCAGAAGCTTGATGCCAAGGCCCAAGCACTGGGGCGGATACAGACTTGTACCTAAATATTTTGAGTTTTGGCAAGGAGAGGAATCTCGTGTCAACCTAAAGTACGTCAATCTATCCATCTTTGTTAATGAAGTTGGTATCCCGGCCAGCCTTAAAGAATCGAAAATGAAGAACATCTTGATGCTGATCATTATATTGTACATTAATTATTATTGGTCTCGTATGTGCATTTATATGATATGATGGACAGGTTATGTTATATTAGTGAAGAAAAAGAAATTGATGGGAGGAAACGATGGAAAATAATGCAACGAAACACCCTCATGGAATCATCATCTAAGGTATTTTGCTAAATGGATAGATTCTGTTTCTCCCATGCACACTTTCCATATCAACCTAAGGAGATTTTTTTTTTTTTTTTTTTTTTTTCTTGCAGTTTTAGGCATGGCCTGGAGGCTGAAAAACGTAATGCTGTTATATGAAAACAAATGATCGAGAAGGAAGATTTAGAAAAGTGTAGTAATTGTTTTTGTTCCAAAATAACGAGTTGAGGCACATTATATGCACGAAACAAGCTAGTTAATATAAGGGTTGCTTTTCAGAAACTCATATATAGTCAGTGTTGGATGTATGCACTCATTCCATTTGTATTTAAGTATATAATAGACCGCACTTAATTACTTGTGGAATAGTATTATTTTTGTTGTTTATAATTTTATTTTATGTGGTGATTGGTGAACCAAGGAACTATATTCGTCCAAATAGTATAGCTTCGGTTTCGTTACGTCGCGTACGTTGAAGGCAGATTATATTATATTATATATATATATGCGTCTGGAAAATGATACGATCGATGGATGATTCAAGAAACCAAACAGAACAAAAGTCAATGTGGGGCCCTTTTGTCCACAAATTAAAAGGCGTATCTGGTTTTTACTCTTGTCGGCACACGTGGGGGCAGGATCAGGATGCTTGCTACGTGCGGTCTATTAATACACTTTTCACTTCCATCTCTCTTTGCCATTTTTAATTTCTTCTCTATTTTCTCCTACTCACATACTGTTTACACAAGATTATATATTTGGCATACCATAAAATAAAATACTCCGTAAAATATATTGTAAAATCTCTCTCAAATTAAATACTTTATACAAATATTACATATGTAGGTATGTGTTGAGCATATAATATACATATAAATGTGTAGTTCAACTATTAGTTTAGCCTTTTAGTTAATATGAAATATATACTTTATCAGAATCAACCTCATGCCAAAGATCATCGAATCTTCACATGCCAAAGGTCATCAAATCTTCATGTTACTAATAAAAAAAAATACTATGGTTCACGCGTAACTTGGAGCCCATAAAAAAAAAATATAATCAACCTGTGAGAAATGTGTTAAACATATAAACTATCAATTTAGGCTTTTAGTAGTAGGTATATTCAAAGTAAAATACTCTGATCATTACATGGAATAATTATATATAATTGGCTCCCTTAGTTATTAAATATGCATTTAATATTACCAACATCTTTCTTTATCGCATTGGAATTGATGGGAACATGGTCCAAGATGTGAATTGAAGAAAGCTAGATATTTGTAGGTATTTGATGGATTCAAATTAAATGGTAATTAGTACACTCTTCATATATGCTTATATGCATTGTAGTGACTACTGTACTATACGTGGGTATGTAAGATTTACGCCAATCGTTATGCGTTGGACCCGTGTCTAGCATGCTTGCTGGACACGGGTAACAGTGCCGTTAGGCACTGTTATTTCTTTTTTTTTTTTGTTTTTTTTTTTTTTTTAATTTCAGACCGCTTCATTGTAAGAGTATATATTCATAATTTTATTACTATATGTTAATAACTATACATTCATAACTCCATAACTGTACGTTCATAACTCTATAACTGTACATTCATAACTCCATAACTGTACATTCATAATTCCATAACTGTACATTCATAATTCCATAACTGTACATTCATAACTCCATAATTGTACATTCATAATTTTCGAAGCTCTATGTTCACAATTTTAGAGCTCTATGTTCATAATTTTATCACTATATGTTCATAATTGTAAGTTCATAATGTTAGAGCTCTTTGTTTATAATTTGATCAATAACTGTACATTCATAATTCCATACTGTAAATTCATAATCTCATAACTGTAGATTCATAACTCCATAACTGTAGATTCATAACTCTATAACTGTACATTCATAACTCGATAACTGTACATTCATAATCTTCGAAGCTCTATATTCACAATTTTAAAACTCCATGGTCATAATTTTATCACTATATATGTTCATAATTGTAAGTTCATAATGTTAGAGCTCTGCGTTCATAATTTCATAATTACATAACTGTATATTCATAATGGAATAACTGTACATTCATAACGGCATAACTGTACATTCATAATCCAAAAAAAAAAAAAAATAACGCCGTGAACGGTAAAACGCGCACAAATTTTTTTTTTTTAACTAAATGACGCATTTTTTTAAAAAAACGACGTCGTTTTGGGCCCGTGTCCACAATTCAATGTGGACACGGGTCCAGGGCATAATTTGCCGATTTACGCCAATAGGGCCGGGGAATCATAAGTTGGAGAGGGAGTTGTGCATGTATATATGTTGCCTATAATAATTAAGAGTGTCTTTGAAATTAAAACTCATAAAATAATTTTTCGGATTTTTAGTGTTTGGTAAAGAGTGGAAAAGGTGAATCAAAGGAAAATATCCTTATTTTCTTTAAAAATGACTTCTTTTTTCTTTTTTTTTTTAGAGAAATCATTTTTCAATTGGCACACCAAGTCACCAACATCACACCACCACCTCAACCACTACTACCACCACCACCGTCACCACACCACCATCACCACTGTTGTTTCCACCACTTATTATTATTATTATTATTATTATTATTATTATTATTATTATTATTATTATTATTATAACAAATAATATCACATCCAATCACCCCTACCACCACCATGTATATTATTATTATAAATTGTTATATTCTAAACAAAGCAACTAAAATGTTTAATTATATAATTATGTTCATTTTTCAGAAAAATAAACCAAACACACCAAGATAATTTTTTGAAATGCAACTAAACATTGAAAATAAAAATATTTTCTGAAGAATAACTTATTTTCTAGAAAACATTTTCTAAAAAAAATTTATTGATTTCCAAACACACCTTAAGTTCAAGAAACAATATAATGTGTTGACACATGGCCGGAATGATATGCATGGGCTAATTATTAATTGACTTAGGCTGTTTGAATTGATGTACTGATTTGACCTAATTACCTTGAAATTAAATATAGAGCCTAAATTAATATAATCTAATAGAGTTGTATTACATAAATTCTTGATCTGTATTCTCTCATTTTTACTTTTTAATGTGACAAATGATAATAAGTTATTTTCATTGTGTGAGTTTTACAGAAAATAATAATATTAAAATTTTGAGTGAATGAATAAAAGTAAAAAGAAGTGGAGTACAAATTAAAGTAGGATTTTTCAGAGCTATAATAATCCCCATCCTTGTATAAATAGAGGCCCCCAACTGACACCACTACGTACTCGATCTCTCTCAGCTCACTAAACTAAAAGAAACCAACTTCATATATATATCGAATTGAATGATGATGATGAAGAGTATGGGGTGCAAACCCTCCTCCCTCATCTTCATTCTTATTATTCTCTTTCTCCTGGCGATCATAATAGCTGCTGCTGCGGTTGAGGTTGCAACTCATCCAACTTCTACCAATAATAATATTATCCATACCGCTCGCCGCGGCCGCTCAATGATCGATCCCGTCCCAAGTTCTAGTACTCCTGCCCCAGGATACTAACTAACGCCCTCCGATCCAGCACGCACCCGCAGCTAAGAATTACTAATATAATATATATGGATATGTTATGCATGTAAACCACTATATATATACTACGTATGGGGCCCCTCCCTTGGAGACGTTAGTTTGCTTTGCTTTTGTTACGTTGTAATATAACGTAACTGTACTGTTGTCGTCTGTGTACGTGTTTATCTTTTAATTTGTGTGTATCTCCATCTCAGAATGGTTAGTATGTACTGGCCGGGCGGCCTGCCGGCGGAGTTGTAACTTTGTCAATAGAATCAGTTCGATATGATCTGATGGCCGGATATATACATATAATAATTTAAATGTGAATTTGCTTCCTTAATTAAGGCTATCTTAATAGGGTGACATGCAAACCAATTCTCGGATCGGAGTCCCACTAGCCCCTGCAGCTAGGACGTACTGCAATCCTCCTTGGCCACTCAGGTTTGGATGTAATTTTATATCATCATATCCTCAAAGTTTGAAGCTCCACTTTAAAAAATCAAACTAATTAGATCCATGCCACTTCAAACTCGGCTAGCTATATAATTTTTTTTTACATATATAAAAATTATAAAACTAAATATTATAGCATAAATTATATCTCAAATAATAAGACATTTTTATAATTTTTTTTTTTTGAATGACTCTAACTCTATTACATGTACATACAACAACGTTTGAGCTTTGATCTCATGACCTGCTTTGATCTCATGACCTCCCACATGAGAAAAGTCATTACATGACATCTGAACACAAAGTGCTTGACTTATAATATATAAATATATAAACTTGATTAAACTCACATTGAGTTGCTTAAATGAAGTATTAAAATGATCAAATTTGGCCCTAGCTAGCTATTCAATTCATTACTCAAACTACTTGACCTCTATGTATTAATATTAATTAAAATGCCCGCATGGGTAGTTCAACTGGTCATTGAGGTAAAACTTTGGAAGAATGACCAGGGATCGAGTCTCACCAGCGGCAGTGTGGGAGCAACCTCTCAAAGTGAGAGGGGCTGCGTCTATGGTTCATGTTCAGTTGAGTCACCATGATTTACATCCTCGGTCTAGCCTCTACGGTCCATGATTTACATCCTCGGTCTAGCCCCTACGGTCCATGTTCAGTTGAGTCACCATGATTTACATCCTTCCAAATGCTCTGTCGGTTCTTCCTTTTGGAAGAATTAAAATGCTGAAGTTTGACGTACTCTATTTGTTTACTCGAGCTAACTGCTACTTGATTAAGCATTTGTTTACTCGAGCTAACTGCTACTTGATTAAGCATTGTTCAACATGCAGTAACCAAATTAAATTTTGAGTATTATAGATAGAACCACATCCAAATTAAATAGCTCCCATACAAGTGCATATAGCAATTAAATAACTTACTCACACACACCTCAATTAACCTAAATTTAAGGCCCAAAAAAAAAAAAAAAAAAAAAAAAAAAAAAAAGATTTCCATAATATTTAAGAATGCCGATGGCAACTGGCAAGGCTAGGCTGAAAACTATTATCCTCAACATATTTCTTTTACTACATACAATGCATTCAAAAAAAAAAAAAAAAAAAAAAAAAAAAAAAAAAAAAAAAAAACATACTACATACAATAGTCATGCAAACTCTAATCTAATCTCATCTACAGAAGAAGTGAAATACCCAACAAAACACCAACTACATATAGGCTCTGTTTGGTAAAATGGCTGTTAGCTGATAGCTGTTAGCTGTTAGCTGATTGTGTTAATTAGAGTGTATAAATAGTTGATAACATTAGCTGATGGTAGA